CTCGTCGATGAGAATGTTAAAGGCCCTCCTACAATTTTGATGACAAAACTGTTCTCACTGTAACTGAATAAATGAAAACATTAAAATTAGATTCAATGGATTCTTCAACTAAATAATCTTTAGGAAATCAATATATAATAGGTGACAACATAATCACAATAAAGATTCAAAAATTTGAGATCCATATTATTAAACTATGCCTATATGACAGCCAGTATATGCCTTTACAGAAACACTATTTTACAACAAAGCTTTAAAAATGCAGATTGGTAACAGCTTATTTTGACCTCCAAATACTGTGTCAAATTTCCTGCCTGGCATTTGAGACACACGTGCAGCCACAAAGATACTGTTACACTGTACTAACTGTTACACTGTACTAACTGTTACACCGTACTAACTGTTACACTGTACTAACTGTTACACTGTATGCCATAATTTCTTCTGTGAGTAAGAAGGAATCAGAGTATATGTGAGATATCAGTACACTTAGATGTACAAACCATCCTGCACATCATATTAACTAAAGCCAAAGCAGGAATAGAAGCCAACAATTTCTTACACCATAACACACCTGCTTTTATCCAAAAAATTTGACGAACTAAGGTTTAAAGAGTAATCTTTTTATGCCCCATCTTGATGAAATGAATTTCTAAGGAAACTTTCTTCCAGTTTACAAAATTCAAACAAACAAATCCCAAAATAAACAGTAACCATGATAACAAAAACCAAGCCCACCTTTAAACACTGCCGTTTATGAATTCCAATAGTTCTCAGGGTTTTTAAATTATAATCACAGGCAAAATTCACACCACAGATATTTAATGCAATTGTGCTTCATGCCAGAGCAGAAAACGCTAATTCAAAAAGATATATGCACCCCTATGTTCACTGCAACATTACTAGTAACGCTAAGATATGGAAGCATCCTAGATGTCCATCAGTAGGCGAATGGATACATAAGATGCAGTACACGCGCACACACACACGCGCACACACACGCGCACCCCCCCACACACACACAGAGGAATATTACTCAGCAATGAAAAAGAAACGAAATCCTGCCATTTGCAACAACATGGATAAGCCTAGAGGGTATTATGCTAAGTAAAATAAATCAGACAGAGAAAGACAAATACTCTCTACATGGTATCACTTGTATGTGGAATCTAAGAGAAACAAAACAAATGAATAAACTAAACTAAACAGAAACAGATCCACAGAAATAGAGAATGAGCTGATGGCTGCCAAAGGGGAGGAGGTGGGAGGGATGGGAGTGAAAAAAAAAAACTTTAAAAAGTAAAAAATAAAAGGGGAAAAATTTTAAAGAAAAGCATTTTAGAGATATTCTTTATAAAAATCTAAAGGCTTTATAAGCATCTATTCCTTCAGAAAATGCCCTAGTGAAATATATAAAATCAGGAGTCTCTATACCTTGCCTGGAGGTAAGCAGTAATCTTCCAGATTATAAAAGAATCTGCCTAGATGGGAACTTATAAACCTAATATAGCAACAAGTTTTTGCTCTGAGTTTTCTTATTTGTTTGTTTTATTTTTATGTAGCATCAAGCACACAACTCAAAGTAACAGTGGAGTCTTCTTCCTTTCAATGCTTACGTATTAGTTTGAGCCATGCAAAATCACTTATTTAGACCATTTTGCCTAAAAAATGGCAATTTCAAATAATTTAACCTTAATATTATCCTTACGTAGATAATAGTTACACTCTTCAGTCTTATTAGTCTGTTTTGTATCACAGCTGCAGACTTGTCATGTGCTGATTACACAGAATTGTCCTCTACAAGTCCCATATACACTATTCCGAGTCAGGGTCCTAAAACATAGACTTGCTGATTTTGGCATCTGTGGATTACCATCCAAGGACGGACACCCTGCTATCAATTGCCAGGTGGCAGTTATGCCCACCTCCATAGCATGCACTCTGCCGAGAACGTCTGGACTCCTCAGGTCATGAAGCTCTGCAAAGCTTCAGGTACTGGCAGGGAGAATGAGTCTCAAAGTGTGGACCAAAGATTTTTGATGATGTGTGATATCTGCCAGGTTGGGAACACCCAATTTTAGTATATTGTCTATCTCATAAGAAGGCAGCACATCTCAAAACCACTTAGTGTTTGCTCCTCTCGCTACAGGGACCAAACCCAATTCACCAGAATTTGTGAATTTTAGCAGCATGCCTTTCAGTAGTGACACCATCACAGGAGTGTCGCCAGAGACCATGCCATTCCTTTCATCTCTTCTTATGATTAGTTGCACTGACTAGCAGAATCGACGACAGCAATGATTGGCCTTGCAAAGATTAACAGACTCAAATTGAAAGGCTGAAACTCTCCATTTTTGAGTAAATAAATTATCTGTGTGGAATTTTTACAAACAAAATTGCAAGTGTTAGAAATACTTCTGAATGTCTGCAAAATCCACCAGGAGGGATTAACAAAGGGGGATGACTGCTTTTAAGGAGAAGACTACAAGTAAGAGTAACACCTCTGAAAGGCAATTAACAGAGAAGATAATCTATTCTGTGATAGCAAATGAAATGTCATCTGGATGGCACCTTAACAGGAGATGAAACAGCGAGTATGAATTAGACTGAGTTGGAGCCTCAAAGTGAAGGCCTTTCAGGAAATTGTGCTGCTCCCCCTTGTGGCTATTTAGACACATTGTGAATATAACTTTTTGTACAAGGTTTTTTCTTCTATGCTAAAATGTTAGGCTATTTAGCCCACTTTTTATGTTCTCTCCCACACGCTTAAGAAAAAGGGAGGCACATCTTGGTTCTTTCCAAATGCACCCAGCTCCAGCAGAGAGAACTACAAGCTGTGGAGTGCAGAAAGCTCAAATAGGGAACTCAAGGCCAGTCACAGACAGCATCTGACATTGGCTTGCACCGGAGACCGTCCAAAAGACAGGGAGTCCTAGCAGATCTACCTAATACATAGAAACAAATCCAAACAGGCAGCTAAAGTGAGGAGACAAAAAAACAAGCCCCAAATGAAAGAACAAGAAAATTCTCCAGATGAAGAGCTAAATAAAATGGAGATAAGCAATGTATCAGATATAGAGCTCAGAATACTGATCATAAGGATGCTCAATAGCATGAGAAAAGATATGGAAACTATGAAGGAAATTAAGAGTGACACAGTAAAAAAAAAAAAAAAAAATGGAAGGACTAAACAGCAGATTAGGGGAAGCTGAGGGTCAGATCAGTGAATTAGAAGACAGGGTAGAAAAAAATCACTCAGAGAACCACAAAGGAAAAAAAACATTAAAAACAGGAGGACAGTTTAAGGGAGTTGTGGGACAACATGAAATATAACAATATTTACATTGTGAGAGTACCAGAAGATGTAGAAAGTAAGGGTTAGAGAACCTGTTTGAAGAAATAATGGCAGAAAACTTCCCTCATCTGGTGAAGGAAAATGTCACACAAGTTCAGGAGGCACAGAGAGTCCCAAGCAAGAAGAACCCAAAGAGGCCCACGCCCAGACACATTATAATTCAAATGCCAAAAATTCAAGACAAAGAATCTTAAAGGCAGCAAGAGAAAAGCAATCTGTTACCTACAAAGGAGCTCCCAGAAGTCTGTCAGCTGATTTCTCATCAGAAACTCAACAGGTCAGAAGGGAATGGCATGAAGTATTCAAGGT